GAAAGTTGAGCATTTCTTTGAATATATAGGAATAAAATTTTGAAAAACTTTGCTCGAGGTTTTCGACGACAAAGAGCTCATTGTTAGTGGTTGATAGTGCTCGGCTGAATGCTTTAAATATCGTTAAAAACTAAGAAGCCTGGATATAGAGATATACTGATATATAAGACTAAAGACAAAGTGAATACGAACTGATATAGTCAACTGCACTACGGGAAGAAAATCTTACATATGAATAAAATGAGTTTTTTAGTTACTGAAAGCTCCTCGTTCAAAAGCCTAGAATGATACCATTTGGCCTTACTGTGCCCAACAGCTGTTTTTTGGTATTTATAAATATGAAGAAATACGGTAAAGAACACAAGCCGCCATTAGGCTCTTTTTTTGGTTTACATAAGGGACTTGGTATTACGTTTGAATGAGAAGTGATGAATCTGTTGTCGCTAATAATTTCCAAAACTGCTGGTATAAGAAAAAATGACTTAGTATTTTAAACTTTTTCGTCATTGAAAACGACAGGACTCTTACACACTGGTTACGAGAATGTAGCAGTATGTATTACACAAGCAATTCTGTAAAAAAACGCTCAAATACTTTTACTTGGTACCAAATACCATAGTAAAACTTTTATTGTTCTTAACTCTCGAAATGATGTAATTCAGAAAAAATTAATGCAGAGGTGAAGGCAGAAATGCTCACTCAGATCAGAGCTAGGAGAGTAAAGTATAGGGTATACATGCTTTTCATCTTTTCATAAAGTATACATGCTTTTCATCTTCACTGATGCAAAAATTTTGCTTCAACGAGATAATGCTCATTGTTCAACGCCAACGAAAAACCATGTATCTATCTGTTTTAACTTTCAAGGTACCAAAAATACTGCTACTATTTATATTGAAATTAACTACTGGCTGGATCTTCAGTCATCTAGGCTACCGTCAATGATGCCCATAACTGGTTTTGATATGTATAAATATATTAGTATACTTGTTGCAATCGGAAACTGTCTTCTTCATAATGTCACTTAACAAACAGACAAACTACACACGATGAATAAACAATTGTCCGAATCAGGATTAAAATACTGCAGATAAAGTAAATAAAACTATCCTTAATTTCCGATAAAATGCAAATGCTAGTTCTGGCAGAGCTCATTATTCTTTGTTGAACCGCCCTAACCAAGACAACCTTATAAAATCCAATATCAGTCACTTTTAGAGAAGGCAGTTTTTTTGACCTGCGCCTACAAATAAAAAAGTGTTGGCGTATATGAAAGAAGAAGCAACGGTACAGTAGCCAACAAAGAAAACTCTCTACGTTTAATTCATTTAACTGACTTCTTAAAGTTTAAAAACTTAAAAACCTTAAGAGTTTCAAATTTTTGAATAAAAATTAAAACTTCTGAAGAAATTTCCTTCAAATAACGTTTCTACAATCTACATTTTATATTAATGTATAAAAAAAAAGGACCGCTTTTTTTAACTGACGCTTTACAGCAATCATTAAGAACATTCTCCAAATTGACTTCACATAATTATCTCTACAAAAAGTCCTGCAAAGAAGCAAAAGTTTTGTGTCAAAGTATGAACGATATTACATCGGAGAGTGAAAATCGAAATGCTCGCTGTGCCACGTAGGTTTTACAAGAAAGGATTGATTTGGCAAGAAACAACTTATGGAAAGACTGCTACCTACTGATAGTACAAAAAGTGTTGCCTGTGCATCAAGAATTTATATTAAAGAAACAGTTTCTATATCTGTTCCGACAGCAGTTGAAACAGTATAATATATAAAACATGAATTTACTGATATATGACTGCTGTTTACAAACTGTCAAACATTTAGGTATATGAAATATACGTTAATTGAACAAAAGAGCAAACAATGTAAAAATAACGGCTAATGATAGTAAATAAGCGAAAATTGTTGACAATTAAAAAGAACGTTACAAACAGAAGGGTCTGTTGGTTGGTTGGCAGCTGTCTTTTGAAATGTCAGAACAACTTCTACTTTTGACAAAACAGGATTACTTTAAAGTAATAAACTACGTTCATTATGGCTAACTAGTTGTTTCTAGCCACTTCTAGATTCCAATAAAAATACGTTACAAGTTCTGCATCTTCCAAAAATAGCACTTTCGATGAACCGGGTAAGTGTTGAGAAATTTCTGTGCATTTGTCAAGTGATTTTTTGAAAAGCAATCAAAACTGCTTGATGACTGCTCTGCACTTTGATACAAAGTTAACCTCTGCATCTGAAAGCACCCCGGTGCTTCAACATTCAGTTCTGTACAAGGTTTTCTTTTCTTGAACTTCCCAAACATCACATCTGGTCTACGCATTAACCAAATTTCAGGCAAGCAAAATTATATTGCTGAGAAGCATTTCAACTTCTTATCCAACTTCTTCAAAAGAGGCAGTACAGCAGGCAATAGAAAAGTTTAAGGTAATGCAATAAATGATAAGGTTTTGACCAATACTGGCCTGTTATCAAGATGTTCCGGTTTTGTCGAAGTGAGCAGTAAAACATTATTTAACTTATTCAGGTTTTAAAGAACCTTGAATCTCATCTTCACAAATAGCAAAAAAAAAGCGGCTTTAAAAAATACCATACAGATTTTGGCTGCATTCTACTTCTTTCTATAAACGTTCAAGATAATTTATACTTACTCCATAACTCATCAATACGATCCACTCTGCTAATTTCCGCAGTTGGCTGATGACCATAAAGTTTAAATGCTTCGTCGCTTTCTTTCGTTCTCAAAAATAACTTCAGGCGCAGGAATGTGCGTCCACTCCACCGCGTACTGAGGAGGAAGTCATTATCAAACTGAATGGTTTTTGAGTGTATAAAGACTACCAAAATAAACCGGAATCACTATGCTTGAGATTTCTTCACAAGAGCTAAAAACCATTACAAGTTTTCGGATTTAATCCTTAGAAAATGTGCTGTTAGGTGAGAACCTCAGCGATAATTTTTTTTTTTTTTTAGATCTCTCTCAGTTATAATGAAGTTTACAAACAGAGTGAGTGACCTTCCCGCATCTACTTCACCGAAATGTCTAGTTTCATGAAGCACTTTTGGCTATAAGCCGAAAACCTCGGGGTTTTCTTGTTACAGACTTTTGATCTTTAACTTCATCTTTGGGGTCCCCAAATCGGTTCATTCGGCTAATCCGTTTTTGATTCATTTTTAGCGGCACTTTCTCAACCAATCATCTTTTCCATGCTTTTGGACCCACCAAAAATACATTGCCGCACCAAATGATAAACATATTGTTGGTTCACAGTGAAGCGCAGAGACACAAAAGGCAGTGCGCAAATTTGACTAGTTAATATTTTCAGATGCAAGACTGAAAGTCTATTCTTTAAAATGTCCTGAATAGGGACGCATTAGGGTAGTTAGTAACAAGTGCAAGCAAGCACGATTCAAATGCTTTTTCGCGTTAGATCTCCTTCAACTTTTAAATAGGCTTCACTACCAAAATATTTGTGCTTCTGTGTAACATCGTTCAAGCGATCAAAATCCGTCCTGCTAGAAGTTGTGACCTACAAGACATCTGTCTGGAAAGTTACGGAAAGTCATCGTAACAAAAATTACTTTCCAAGTGAAGTGTCAAAATTAATTAGTATTAAGTATAAAAAAGTTCCAAATTACCTTCAGGAACAACAGCTTTCGAGACATACAGTTTTAAGTACCCATCCTTCAAATGCATAAATTTCTTTTTTATTCTTTTTGTGAAACTATGGTTGTAAATGAGACACGGAATCAGAACACAACTTTGCAGCTTACTTTCTGTACCAGTTCCTTGTCGTGATTCCACGCTTCCTCACCAACTCGATAAAAAATCCTTTTGAGGACCAGTGCCGTACTAAAGTAATATGACCAAAAAAATACAATATTTCAACGATAAGGTTTAAATACTGAGCAGATAATTGTGGCAAATGACCGGTTAGAGATCTCCCAAATGTCCATGACCGTCTCTCGACAAAAGCGGCATCAGGAATTGTAAAACATTGTCAACATCCAGTAACCGCTCAACGCACAATTTAATCCTGCCTGCCAATGGCAAGTCCCCGTCAAGAATCTTTGAACGGCATGCAACCCAAAGAGCTCCAGCAGAAAAGCTTAACGCGTCTAAACTGTTCAAAGACCAAAGCCGACTTCCCCAAGCACTCCATTTTTCCACAGCAGCGAAGGATTGATTGGCTGTGTACTCTCCAGCACTGACGTAACGCTCCTCCTGAGTAAAACTGCTTGTCCAAAACAGCACATAAACCAGATGACTCCGAGAAAGTTAGGCTATCTTTCAAATGCTGCTTCTGATCTACTT